AAAATTAGCTGGGCGTGGTGGCGTGTGCCTGTGGTCCCAGCTACTCTGGAGGCTGAGGCAGGAGAATTGCTTGAACCCAGGAGGTGGAGGCTGCAATGAGCCGAGATTGCACCACTGTACTCCAGCCTGGCACCTGGCGACAAACCAAGACTCTGTCTCAAAAAAAAAGAGAGATGGGTGCCAAGGCTGATCTTGAACTCCTGGGCTGAACCAATCCTCCCACCTTGGCCTCCTGAAGTGCTGGGATTACAGGCATGAGCTGCCATGTCCAGTCTTACCAGTTTTATTTAATGGATAAAACTCAGGGCCGGGCGCGGTGGCTCAAGCCTGTAATTCCAGCACTTTGGGAGGCCGAGGCGGGTGGATCACGAGGTCAAGAGATCGAGACCATCCTGGTCAACACGGTGAAACCCCGTCTCTACTAAAAATACAAAAAATTAGCTGGGCATGGTGGCGCGTGCCTGTAATCCCAGCTACTCAGGAGGCTGAGGCAGGAGAATTGCCTGAACCCAGGAGGCGGAGGCTGCGGTGAGCCGAGATCGCGCCATTGCACTCCAGCCTGGGTAACGAGAGAAACTCTGTCTCCCCAAAAAAAAAAAAAAAAAAAAAAAAAAAACTCAGGAACTGCTAAATGGAAGAGATCCAGAGGGTAAGGACTGGTTGAGGACACTGAAGGTGCAGCACATCCAAGCACCCTCTGGATGAGCCACCCTCCCAGCGCTTGAATGTGTTCACCAACCTAACTCTCTTAATCGTGGGGTAAAGAGTCCATACCTCCTTTAAGGTGACTATCACTATACTGAAGATATCTATGGGTCCTACTGTAGTCACCTCATTAGCATAAACTCAGGTGTGGTCAAAATGGGCTCCTTATGAATTGCAAACCCTACTCCTATTATTCACAAAATTCCAAGGTTTTTAGCTCTGTGCCAGGAACCAGGGATAAAGATCACATACAGGTTTTATTACACCATAGAGGGCCAATTGCTCTTGCACCATCTGGAAAAGGCTACCTTTCCTGCATTGAATAGCTTTTGCTCCTTAAAAAAATCAGCCAGGAATATCTTTGTGGGTCTATTTCTGGGTTCCTGATTCTGTTCCACTGATCTATGTGTCTGCCAACACCACATTGGATTACCATGGCTACAGAGTAACAAAATCAGGTGCAGTTATTCCTCCTACTTTTCTTTTTCAAAAAATTATTTTAGCTATTCTAAGTCTTGTGCTTTCCCATATACACGTTCTTTCTTTTTTTTTTTTTTAAGTTGGAATCTCACTCTGCTGCCCAGGCTGCGGTACAGTGATGCGATCTTGGCACACTGCAACCTCTGCCTCCTGGGTCACCCTCTCTAACAGCTGGGATTATAGGCATGCACCGCCACACCTGGCTGATTTTTGTATTTTAGTAGCACTGGGATTTCTCCATGTAGGCCAGGCTCATCTCGAACTCCTGACCTCCAGTGTTCTGCCAGTCTGAGCCTCTCAAAGTGCTAGGATTATAGGCGTGAGCCACTGGCCTGGCCTTTTTTCTCCCCTTTGTTTTTTTTTTTTTTTTTTTTGAGACGGAGTCTTACTCTGTCACCCAGGCTGGAATGCAGTGTTATGATCCCGACTCATTGCAACCTCCATCTCCTGGGTTCAAGGGATTCTCCTGCCTCAGCCTCCCAAGTAAATGGGAATACAGGCGCCCGCCACCAAGCCTATCTAATTTTTGTATTTTTAGCAGAGATGAGGTTTCACCATGTTGGCCAGGCTGTTTTCAAACTCCTGACTTCAAGTGATCCCCCCCGCCTCAGCCTCCCAAAGTGCTGGGATTATAGGCATGAGCCACCGCACCCAGCCAATTTTATTGATCTTTTCAAAAAAAAAGCTTTAGGTGTTATTTTAAAATTTTTATTGTTCTTATTGTATAAAATTAGAAGTATGTACAAGTACTTACAAATATGGAATTAAAATGGCAGGAAATTCAACTGAAAGAACAGGGAGTAACTAACTCTGGTAAGAAGTAGTGGCAGGGAGTAGGAATGAGGGAATGGAAAATGCCATTTCTCCTTATAAACATCATTCGAATTTTTTATATGAGATACATGTTATATTTTGGCAAAAATCAAAAACGTTGTATTGCAAGGTAGAATGAAAACATCTAAAAAAAACCCACAAATTTTCAAATCCATATGACTACATATATTTGTAGGGAACTATTAATAGAAGCAGTAATTATTTTTTTGAGAGACGAGGGGCCAGGCTTGGTGGCTCATGCCTGTAATCCAAGCACTTTGGAGGCCAAGGTGGGTGGATCACCTGAGGTCGGGAGTTCAAGACCAGCCTGACCAACATGGTGAAACCTCGTCTTTATTAAAAAAAAAAAGAAAGTAAAAAGAGACAAGTTCTCGCTCTGTTGCCCAGGCTAGAGGGCAGTGGTGTGATCATAGCTCACTGCTGCCTTGAACCCTTGGACTCAAGTGATCTTCCTGCCTCAGCCTCCCAAGTAGACAGGACTATAGGCACGTGTTATTAACCCAGCTAATTTTAAATTTTCTTGTAGAGACAGGGTCTCACTATGTTACTGAGGCTGGTATCAAATTCCTGGGCTCAACTGATTCTCCTGCCTCAGCCTCCCAAAGTGCTGGGATTATAGGCATGAACCACTGCCTGGCTAACAGTAGCAATTCTATAATGTTTGTTTATATAACAGTGCCAGGTACTGTTTTAAAGACTTTACATGGCCGGGTGCGGTGGCTCAAGCCTGTAATCCCAGCACTTTGGGAGGCCGAGGTGGGTGGATCACGAGGTCAAGAGATCGAGACCATCCTGGTCAACATGGTGAAACCCCGTCTCTACTAAAAATACAAAAAATTAGCTGGGCATGGTGGCACGTGCCTGTAATCCCAGCTACTCAGGAGGTTGAGGCAGGAGAATTTCCTGAACCCAGGAGGCGGAGGTTGCGGTGAGCCGAGGTTGCGCCATTGCACTCCAGCCTGGGTAACATGAGTGAAACTCCGTCTCAAAAAAAAAAAAAAATAGAAACGTAATAACTTTTCACATGTAACATTTAATTATCAGAGCAACCTCACAAGATCCTACAACTATAAAATGGCAGACAGCAGATAAGAGTCCAGGTGGCCTGACCCTGGAATCCTATTCCTGACGTCCAGGCTGCACTGCCTCTGCATGAAGGTATATACAAGGCATGTAACTGCATAGAGGCAACAGGAAGCTATCAGCACAGTTTAGCTTTCGCAAAGGCGTCAGAGTAAAGGCAGAATATGTTTTTTGTTCTAAATACTTCTGTATAGCTACAAATTAATTTTATGTGGCTTTTGTTATAGGATACCTTGTATATACCAAAAAAAGTCACTGTTAAAAGTATGGTATGATATACACACAAAAATAGAGAAATGTATCAATGAACTGAGTCCAGAAACAGATTAAAATACACAGTAGAATGTAGATTCTGATAAAGATGTAATTTCAGCCCATTAGGAAAAAGAGTGATTGTTTAATAGATGGTCTTGGGAGAAATGACTACCTATATGGAAAAAAAAATTGGATTCCAATGCCTGACTACATATACCGAAATAAACTCAAAATGGACATTAAGATTTAAATGTACAAAATGAAATAACAGACTTAAAAGGAAACAGACTTTAAAAGTCTTCAAAGCGGCTTTTGGCCAGGCATGGTGGCTCATGCCAATAATCCCAGCACTCTGGGAGGCCGGGGGCAGGGGGCAATCACTTAAACTCAGGAGTTTGAGAGAAGCCTGGGCAACATGGTGAAATCCCATCTCTACTAAAAATACCAAAAAGTAACCGGCCACAGTGGTGCACGCCTGTAGTCCCAGCTACTTGGGAGGCTTGAGGTGTGAGGATCACCTGTGCCCAGAAAGTAAGGGCTGCAGTAAGCCATGAACGGTGATCATGCCACTGTACTCAAGCCTGGGAGATGTGAGACCCTGTCTCTTTGTATAGGTTTTTGTTTATATCCAGTAGACATTTTATTTTTTTATTTATTTTGAGACAGTCTCGCTCTGTTGCCCCAACTGGAGTGTAGTAGTGCAATCTTGGCTCACTACAACCTCTGCCTCCCAGGCTCAAACAATTCTTGTGCCTCAGCCTCCCAAGTAGCTGGGATTACAGGCATGCACCACGTCTGGCTAATTTTTTATATTTTTAATAGAGACGGGGTTTCACCATGTTGGCCAGGCTGGTTTTGAACACTTGACCTCAAGCAATTCACCCACCTCGGCCTCCCAAAGTGCAGGGATTAAAGGCATGAGCCTCCACGCCTGGTCTCATCCCGGGGATATTTTGATCCAAACACTGCCATTTGCCTTTTTTCTTCTTTTGAGATGGAGTCTCATTCTTTCTCCCAGGCTAGAGTACAGTGGTGCCATCTTAGCTCACTGCAGCCTCCGCCTCCTGAGTTTAAGCAATTCTCCTGCCTCAGCCTTCAAGTAGATGGGACTACAGGTGCCCACCACCACACCCAGCTAAATTTTGTATTTTTAGTGTCACCATTTTTAGAGTGTCAACATGTTGGCCAGGCTGGTTTTGAACTCCTGACCTCAAATGATCTGCCGACTTCGGCCTCCCAAAGTGCTGGGATTACAGGCATGAGCCACTGCTCCCAGCCTTTCCTTTTTGTCTTTTTTTGAAACAGAGTCTTGCTCTGTCACTCAGGCTGGAGTGCAGTGGTGTGATCTCAGCTCACTGTACCACCGCCTCCTGGGTTCAAGCAATTCTTGTGCCTCAGCCTCCTGAGTAGCTGGAATTACAGGTGTGCATCACCATGCCTTGTTAATTTTTGTATTTTTAGTAGAGATGAGGTTTCGCCATACTGGCCAGGCTGGTCTCGAACTTGGCCTTGCCATGTGCTGGGAATACAGTGTTAGCCACCACGCCCAATAGCTATTTGCCATTTATGAGGGCTCCTTTTAGATGAAAGCAAAAAGAGTTGGCTAAGCCCAGATGGCTGAGAATCTGGTGTGTGGGTCTCACCTTGTTTCCAATGAATAAAGTGAAGTTACAGAGGCAAAGGAGGGAGAACTTCTGAGGTTTCCAGCTGCAATCTGAGTGAGTGAATTAATCCCCATTTCCATGTAGGCAGAACCTGTAAGAGTGGCAAGAGTCTTGTATAGATATTACAGAGACCTAAAGAAGAACTAAAATCCAGAAACCACAAAAAAAGTGAAAAAAAAAAAGTGGTAAATTTGGCTATATTAAATAGAAACCTATTCTACAGTAACCAAAACAGCATGATACTAATACAAAAACAGAAACGTAGACCAAAAGAACAGAATACAGAATATAAAGAAGTAAAGCCACACACCTACAACCATCTGATGTTCCACAAAGTTGACAAAAATAAGCAATGGGAAGAGGACTCCCTATTTACTAAATGGTGCTGACATAATTGGTTAGCCATATGCAGAAAACTGAAACTAGACTCCTCCCTTTTACCATATATAAAAATGGATTAAAAACTTAAATATAAAACCTATAACTGCCGGGCGCGGTGGCTCACGCTTGTAATCCCAGCACTTTGGGAGGCCGAGGCGGGTGGATCACGAGGTCAAGAGATCGAGACCATCCTGGTCAACATGGTGAAACCCCGTCTCTACTAAAACTACAAAAAAAAAACATTAGCTGGGCATGGTGGTGCGTGCCTGTAATCCCAGCTACTCAGGAGGCTGAGGCAGGAGAATTGCTTGAACCCAGGAGGCGGAGGTTGCGGTGAGCCGAGATCGCGCCATTGCACTCCAGTCTGGGCAACAACAGCAGAACTCCGTCTCAAAAAAAAAAAAAAACAAAAAAAAAAAAACCTATAACTACAAAAACCCTACAAGAGGCCAGGTGTGGTGGCTCATGCCTGTAATCCTAGCACTTTGGGAGGCCGAGGCAGGAGGATCACCAGAGGTCGGGAGTTTGAGACCAGCCTGGCAAACATGGTGAAACCCTCGTCTCTACTAAAAGTGCAAAAAATTTAGCTGGACATGGTGGCACATGCCTATAATCCCAGCTACCCGGGAGGCTGAGGCAGAATCACTGGAACCCAGGAGGCAGAGGCTGCAGTAAGCCGAGATCACGAACACTGCATTCCAGCCTGGGTGACAGAGGAAGACTCTGTCTCAAAATATATGTATATATATTTTGTAGAGACAGGGTCTCCCTATTTTTCCCAGGCTGGTGTCAAACTTCTGAGCTTAAGCAATCTTCCTCCTTTGGCCTCCCGAAAGTGTTGGAATTACAAGCATGAGACACTGCACCCAACCAGTTTTTTGGTTGTTGCTTGTTTTGAGACAAAGTCTCTCTCTCTCACCCAGGCTGGAGTGCAATGGTGTGATCTCAGCCCACTGCAACCTCAATCTCCCAGGTTCAAGCGACTCTCCTGCCTCAGCCTCCCAGGTAGCTAGGATTACAGGCATGTGCCACCACACTTGGCTAATTTTTGTATTTTTAGTAGAGACGGGTTTTGGGGTTTCACCATGTTGGTCAGGCTGGTCTCGAACTCCTGACCTCGTGATGCACCCACCTCGGCCTCCCAAAGTGCTGGGATTACAGGAATGAGCCACCGCCCCCAGCTCCAACCAGTTTTTTGTTTGTTTGTTTTTGAAACGAAGTCTCGCTCTGTCCCCCAGGCTGGAGTGCAATGGCGTGGTATTAGCTAACTGCAACCTCCGCCTCCCAGGTTCAAACGATTCTCCTGCCTCAGCCTCTCAAGTAGCGGGGATTACAGGAATATGCCACCAAGTCCAGCTAATTTGGTATTTTTAGGAGAGATGGTGTTTCACCATGTTGGCCAGGCTGATCTTGAACTCCTGACCTTGTGATCCGCCCGCCTGCGCCTCCTAAAGTGCTGGGAATACAGGCATGAGCCACTGTGGCCAGCCCCCAACCAGTTTTAATGCATATACTTTGATCCGGCAACTGTACCCCCACGAATTTATCCAAGTATATCCAGGCATGCCTGCATGTGTGCAATATATCACAAGGATATTATATTGCATCATTTACAATATCAAATATTTGTTTATAATCCCAATATGTAATATAATCTACGATATGTCTGTTGACAGGTCTATATAACTGGGTATTATCAGTCCATTAAAACAATGAGGAATATACATATTTGCACACACGTAAAGAGACCCTCCAGGGCTAGGCGCGGTGGCTCACGCCTATAATCCCAGCACTTTGGGAGGCCGAGGTGGGTGGATCACAAGGTCAAGAGATCGAGACCATCCTGGTCAACATGGTGAAACCCTGTCTCTAGTAAAAATACAAAAATTAGCTGGGCATGGTGGCATGCGCCTGTAGTTCCAGCTACTCAGGAGGCTGGGGCAGGAGAATTGCTTGAACCTAGGAGGCAGAGGTTGCGGTGAGCTGAGATCACGTACTGTACTCCAGCCTGGGTAACAAGAGTGAAACTCCGTCTCAACAACAACAAGAAAAGAGACCCTCCAGGACACGTGGCACAGAGATCAAATTAGAACACAAAACGTAATACCTCATATGTCCAAAATCAGTACTGTCCACCACAACCCACTGTCATTAGTTGTCTACAAACGGTCCTATAAGAAAGCATCAATTGTGGTCTCTGAGGAGAGCACCTCAGGTGAGAAAAGGGCCCATTTTTCTTTCATTTCCTTTTGTATGTTTTAATTCTTTACCACATGCATGGACTACTTTTTCAAATAAAGTAAACATAATTGGTTTTTTTTTTGTTTTGTTTTTGTTTGTTTTTGTTTTTTGAGACAGAGTTTCGCTCTTGTTACCCAGGCTGGAGTGCAGTGGCGCGATCTCGGCTCACCGCAACCTCCGCCTCCTGGGTTCAGGCAATTCTCCTGCCTCGGCCTCCTGAGTAGCTGGGATTACAGGCACGCGCCACCATGCCCAGCTAATGTTTTGTAGTTTTAGTAGAGGCGGGGTTTCACCATGTTGACCAGGATGGTCTCGATCTCTTGACCTCGTGATCCACCCGCCTCGGCCTCCCAAAGTGCTGGGATTACAGGCTTGAGCCACCGCGCCCGGCCAACATAATTGGTTTAAAAAAAGAACATCAGGCCGGGCGCGGTGGCTCAAGCCTGTAATCCCAGCACTTTGGGAGGCCGAGGCGGGTGGATCACGAGGTCAAGAGATCGAGACCATCCTGGTCAACATGGTGAAACCCTGTCTCTACTAAAAATACAAAAAATTAGCTGGGCATGGTGGTGCGTGCCTGTAATCCCAGCTACTCAGGAGGCTGAGGCAGGAGA